GTATTTCTTGGAATCTATCCTAAGGAAATACTCTCAAGACTGGTGATACACATCATACATGGGCTGTACTTAACAGATCTACAACTTAAATATTAGTCCTCTACTTTCTATACATTTAGAATATAATAAAAAACTTCATAATAAAAAACTGGAAATAGTCCATAGCAAATTACAGTGTATCCATTGAATGACTATATAGGAATTTTAATATGGTAAGATATGTAGAAAACCCTAAAGATTCCACCAAAAACCTGGTAGAATAAATTAATTCAGCAAAGTAGCAGGATATCAAGTCATCACATAAAAATCAATTACATTTCTATACACAAACAATGAACAATCTGAAAAGGAAATTACAAAAATATTTCCATTTATAATAGCATCAAAAAGAATAAAATACTTAGGAACTAACCAAGAAGGTAAAAGATATATACAATGAAAACTACAAAATATTGCTGAAAGAAATTAAAGAAGACAAATAAATGGTAACACATCCCATTTTCATGGACTGGAAGACCTAATACTGTTAAAAACTCAATAGTACCCGAAGCCATCTACAAAGTCAATGCAATACCTACTGAAATCTCAATGACATTTTCTGCAGAAATAGAAAAACCCATCCCAAAATTCATATGGAATCTCAAGGGACCCTGAATAACCAAAACAATCTTGAAAAAGAACAAAACTGGAGGACTCACACTTCCTGATTTCAAAGCTTACTAGAAGCTACAGTATCAAAACAGCGTGGTACTGGCATAACACATATATAGACCAATGGAATAAAATAGCCCAAAAATTAACTCTTGCATATATGCTCAAATGATCTTTGGCAAGGCTGCCAAAACCACTTAATGGGGGAAAAAACAGTCTTTTCAACAAACAGTGCTAGGAAAACTGGATATCTATGTGCAAAAAAATGAATTTGGACCCTTAACTAATGCCAGGTACAAAAATTAACTCAAAATGGATCAAAGAACTAAATGGGCAAAGGATTTGAATTGATATTTCTCCAAAGATATACAAATGGTCAATAAGCACATGAAAAGATATTCAACATCACTAATATTAGGGAAGTACAAATCAAAAACACAATGAGATATCACCTCACAGCCATTAGCATGGCTACTTTAGAAAAACAAAACAAAAAGCAGAAAAGTGTTAGCAAGGACGTGAAGAAACTGGAACCCTCCTGCATTGGTGGTGGGAATATAAAATGGTGCAGCCACTATGGAAAACAGTGTGGCGCTTCCTCAAAAAGTTAAAAACAGAATTACTGTATGATCCAGCAATTCTACTTCTGTGGAAATACCCCCAAAGAACTGAAAGCAGGGACTCAAACCGTATCTGGACACTCACATTCCTAGGAGCATTATTCACAAGAGCCAAAAGATGGAAGCAACTCAACTGTTCATCAACAGATGAATGAAAAAATAAAATGTGATATATACATACACTGGAATATTATCCAGCCTTTAAAAAGGAAGGAAATTGAGACATATGCTACAACATGGATGAACCTTCAGTTCATTATGCTAAGTAAAATAAGCCAGTCACAAAAAGACAACTGCTGCCTGAATCCACTTATATGAGGTACTCAAACTAGTCAAAATAGAGACAGAAAGCAGAAAGGTGATTGCCAACAGCGGTAGAGAAGGGAAAACGAGAAGTTTAGAGTTTCTGTTTTACAAGATGAAAAGATTTCTGGAGACGGATCGTGGTGATGGCTGCACAATGATATAAATGTATTTAATACCATTGAACTGTATACTTAAAAATGGTTACAGTGGTAAATTTTACATTATGTGTATTTTACTACACCTGAAAAAAGTATACATAGGAGTTAAATGGTAAGTATGCTTTTTCCATTATTAACCATGTCCTTCCTGATGGAGCACAGGTAATAAACTCATTTATTCCCAGGGGGTGAGGAATGGCAACACACATAAGGGGGAAAATTCTGTAAGCTCTGTATCAGGCTACATATTTTTAGTATCTAGATAATTCTTGACAATTAGAAGGTCAATCAGGAAAAGACAAACAAATAAAAAGAAGCACAAAGGACAGGAACAGAAATTCACAAATGGCCAATAAATGTGAAAAAATGTTCAAACATACTAGTAATCAAGGAATGAAACATTAAAGACACAATTTTTCATCTATTAAATTTAGTTTGGGGGGAGATGAAAATAAGGTGTCTTGAACAAGGGGCACTTGTTTCTAATTCACACTCATTGTCTTCACTTCCCCACTCCCATTCAATTACTCCCATCTGTTTCTACCTCCTACTTCTAGTACTCTGGATAATAATACCAATGCCCAAACTAATAACCTCTGCGTTGCCAAATCCAAGTGAGCAACTCATTAAACATCTCAGAAGCACTGACGGACCAAGCCTCCATCATCCAGAAACTTCTCTCTCGTGGTTTCCATGACACCAGTCTCCTGCTTTTTTCTCTTACCTCGCTGGCTGTTTCTTCTGTCCTGTGCCCAATCTTCTTCCTCTATAAGATCTCCAAGCGTTATAGTGCCTGAGGCTCACTCAATTTTCACTTCTCTACACTCTTT